GTATTAACCAGCTTTGCATTAGTTCCTATGGGAACTAATGCTTCAATGTACGAACGTACCTCTACATAACAAAAAAACAAACAAACAAACAAAAAACAGCCAGAACGGATTAATTGGTTTTCAGTCCATTCCTATGGGAAATTTTGCTTCAACTTAAGAACGTTTCAACTTAAGAACACCATCCCAAAACGGATTAAGTTCTTAAGTAGAGGTTCCACTGTACGTACGTAGGTAAGATATCATCACCTCAGGGAGGGGGCGATGATAACTTCCTCAATGGCTCAAGGGGGCGTTTCTTTCTAAAAGGTTAAGAACCACTGGACTAGATGGCCTTCGAGGCCCCTTCCAACTCAATTATTCTATGCTTCTATGATCCACTTGCTTTTAAGGCAGATGGAAAACTAAAGCAGGAAATTTGCTAAAGAAGAAGCTGGAGAATAAGAGCTAAATAAGTATTAAGGGAAGATGAGAAGATTACAGAAAAATTTATGGATTGATTATCTGTTGATTGATGGTTGCTCCTGCTGTATCACAGGAAATGTAGGGCAGAGAGAAGTTGGAGAAGTTGTGGCAAATAGTGGTGATGAATCTGCAGCTGTCAATACAATCTGAAAACAAATCAGATCAGTCCCAGGCTGGGTCCATCCAAGAGTTTATAAAGGTTACAGTGGGGTCTTGACTTGAGAACTTAATCCGTATTGGAAGGCGGTTCTCAAGTCAAAAAGTTCTCGGGTCAAATCTGCATTTCCCATAGGAATGCACTGAAAACCATTTGATCCGTATCTGCTCTTTTCCGTCCATAGAAACTAATGGGAAGCTGCTATTCCGCCTTCGACCACTAGAGGGGGATATTTTGTTTCTTTTTTTCTTAGGTCAAGAAAGGTTCAGGGAAGGCAGGGAAAATACAGTCCAGGCAGTACCAGGCGGTCCGAAGACTGTCTCCCAATCCGCTCTCTAAACGCTGGGAGGAGTGAGGAAGCAGACAGGCACCCTTTTCACTGGCCAACAGTTAACTGAAAGTTCACATTTTGCACTTTCCCTGCCTCCCTCGTGGGTTTTTTTCAGTTCTTAACTCAAATCTAAATATGTAAGTCAAGTCAATATTTTCCTATGAGAGCGGTTCGTAAGTCAAAATGTTCTTAACTCAAGCTGTTCTTAAGTCAAGACCCCACTGTATTAACATGTGATTGCTCATTTTTCCAACCAACAATATAGGTCATACCCCTATGATCAGAAGTAACAGGAAGGTGAACAATGTCAAATTTCTACAAACAGGCACAGAAAACTATAGTCCAATTGGCATAATGCCTATTCCAAATAAATCAGGAAACTTTCCTAAAATGAATCTGTCCCAGGGCTCAAAAAACTTGATTGTACATATATTCCGATGAGATTGAGTGGGTACTGCATTGATGATGGACAAGGATGGGGCTCTTGAGTAGAGATGGGCATGAAGCACTGGTTCAGCAGCTCGTGATGATTCGTTTATTGGCCAAACAATGACAAATTGGTCATCCAAGTCTAGCTAAAAGAATTTTCACCCAAAATTAAAAATTCTACAACAGTTGCTAGACAACACAGTGCAAGGAGTTAATAAACAAACTGCTTATGTTGTCCCACAAAGTTTGGAAATCTTTCTTTGTTTTGGACTATCACTTCCCAAATCCCCTGCTTAATTTTGGGGGAGGGGAGTGAGGAATGTTGGGAATTGTATTCTCGAGGCACAAAAAAGACCGGCTAATGACAACCATCAATCACAGTAACAGATAATCTCTCCCCCCTGATCAAACAAAAAACACCCTATCTCCTGAAAAGGACAAAAGCTGATCCCACAGCTATAAATACTAAACTATCCAACAAACAGCAACAGAGCAGGGACAGTGTTCCTACTCCTGTCCTCTGAAGATGCCGGCCACAGAGACTGGCGAAACGTCAGGAAGAACAACCTTCAGAACACGGCCAAAAAACCTGAAAAACCCACAACAACCATCAATGTTGGGAATTGTTGTCCTGAAAACTGAGGCTGACAAGCCCTGCATTAGACATGCCACAGTAATGACAAAAACGTACAGCAGGGAAGAGCAGCCATCTAGTAGACCAAGGAAATACACAACCGCTTGCCGTGTTCCGCAAGATTACAATGAGGTAACTGCCTTGGGACGCAGCAGTGAGGTGAAGATGGCACATAAACAAGGCACAGTGTTTAGTAACTTTCTGAAAGGCCCAGTACCTACTGTTTTCTGCCACTTGCTCAAAATAAATATATAGAGAAGTCACTGTAGTTTCCTTGAGAGATCTAGCCAGGCATTAATTTGTGTCTGGCCTTGAGACCTTCCAAAGTTCTTGTTGATGTGCGCTGTCAAGCCATTGCCAACTTAAGGTGGCCTTATTGTTGATTGACCCCCCAAATGGCCCTGACATTAACTACCCTGTTCAGGTCTTGCAAACTAATGGCCATGGCATCTTTATGGAGTCAATTCAGTTCATGTTCAATCCTCCTCTCTTCCTGGCGCCAACAACTTTTCCTAAGTAGCGCCAAGGAACTGCCCTAGGGAATTTAATTTGCTTTGTAATGGAATGCCTCATACATCCACACATGCTTCTTTTTGTTTTAGAGTACATGGCTAAATTGGAGGAGCCTGGATTGGAATAAATAGGGTTGCTTAAGTTCATGTAGAGGTGCAGTATGCCATTTGCTGCGATCCTTGCATTTGCATGCCATACACACCTTAAGAAAGGCTATTTGGTCCTCCTGCCTTTAAAGGAAAAGAACAAAAAGAACAAAACAAAACAGGGAGGAAGCTTTCTATTTTTTTAAAAAAAATGTTTTTAATTTCCCAGTATCATTAAGTAGCTAAGCTTTCTGCTTAAACCACTTAATGATATTGGGAAATTGAAAATGAATAGGAAATTGAAAGCAGCAAGCCAACCACTTTGGTTCGATCCTAGCAATTGCACATGTTGGAGCCAAACCAAAACAGAGCAATCCTACCCACATCTACATGATAGTAGTCCCTGCCAGGGAGCTAAAAAGTAGTATCCTCTTATAGTCACACCTTACATTAGCAGATTACTCAGTGAAGATATAGTAATGGACAACCATTTAAAAAGCCATTATAGCTGCTCCTAGAATGGGTTATTTTTAGTTCCATGTTAAGGAAATTCCTAGTAGAAGCCTCTCTATCTCTGTCTATGTCAAACATCAGGAGTCACACACACACACACACACACACACACACACACACACACACACACACACACACACTGCATGGAGAAAAGACTGAGTTTCTGATAGACTAATACCTTTTATATAGAATAAAATCACCATATGCAGTATCCAATCTAATTTTATCACAGGCATGTCAAAGATCCAGGGAAATTGGGTAGCATTAGACCAATTGTATCACTAAACATTTCTCCTAAGCAAAATTCCAAAACCCTGTATATCTGCTAAGCAGCCTCCATGCGCCTGTATTCCACACATCTGTGTTACGGATGGTTTTACCGAAACCGTTTTATCAACCGTTATAAAAGGAAGAAGATCCAGTCCAAAAATTCTATTCCTTAAGTTTCCAATACAGCTGGTTATTGACTGCAAGGTACCTTCAAAAGACTATCTGGAGAAAGTGCAACGCCAGTCTGCCACAGGCTTCCAACAAGAGGAAGTGGGAATGGTCCAGGTGGATACTGCTTGTACTTCCAGAGCAACATCACGTAGTGAAGGGTCAAAAGCCCCATCGGCAGAATAGTCAACAATCCCCAGACCCCAAGCATTTCTCTCGCTTTTTGTTCTTCTGCCTTGGTATTTAACTAGTACTCCTTGGGTTGGTTCAAAAGCTTTCTCCTTTCTCTGAGACAAAGCCGCTTATCTCTTGTCCTTCCTCTCACTGCTTTTTATGTGCTGCATATTAAACATGAAAACCAGGGGGGTCCTCTTTCATCATACCTAATTATGCATGGACATCTGGCTGAGTAATGACTCAAACTGCCATTATCAAGATGGTTGGATCGGATCTATATCTGATCTATAGATCTCTCTCTTGATGGAAGGTAGTTTGGGCCCATCAGTACCTCGACTAATTACACTGAGGGGGGGGAGGAGGGAGGTTTTTTTGGTGGGAGAGATGGCATGGTAAGGCCGTGTCATCGAAGACCTCCAAGTCCATGCCAGAACAATGGCGGTGGGGACGCAAGGCTCCAAAAAGCACATGATCGAATGAGTGGCATCTCCTATCTGTAAAAAGTCTCAGTGAGAACGATGCCAACATGCCACCCAGATGCTGAGGGAGCCTCCCCACTAATGCCTCTGTTGACCTCCACGCTACCCTGGATGTGCTGATTTCTGATTCTGGAAGCTAAGCAGGGTTGGGCCATGCTAGGACATGAATGGGAGACCACCAGGGAATAGCCAACATCTCTAGGCAGGACTTTGAAATGATGGAGAACCAGACAGAGATGGGAGGTCCTTAAAGGTATAGAAACACTGGTTTTCCTCAGGTCACCTGTGAGAATGTCTACCACAGAGAAAGTGCCTTCTTGCTGGTAGGGTTTAATTCAGGGGTTGGCAACTGTGTCCCCACCCAAACTTCAATGAATATTGCCTACAACTCTCAGCAGCTCTGTTGTAATTATGTCAAGTGCCCTTGACTTATGGAGACCCAACGAATCAGAAATCTCCAAAATGCCCTGTCCTCAGTCTCCCTGCTCAACTCTTGTAGACTCAAGCCTGTGGTTTCTGTTAGGGAGTCAGTTCATCTCATATTGGTCTTCTTCATTTCCTGTTGCCTTCCACCTTTCCCAGCATTATTGTCTTCTCCAGGGAATCTTGACTTCTCATGATGTGCCCCAGTTTCAACATTCTTGCCTCCCGAGATAGTTCAGACTTGATTTGATTTAGGACCTGGAGTATTGCGTACCATTCTGGGGGCCACACCTCAAAAAGGACATGGTGGAACTGGAAAAGGTGCAGAAGAGAGCGACTCAAATGATGACTGGGCTGGGGCACATTCCCTGATGAGGAAAGGCGACAGCATTTGGGGCTCTTGAGTCTAGAGAAAAGGCGCCGGAGGGGGGACCTGACAGAGACATATAAAATGATGCAGGGAATGGATCATGTGGATAGAGGGAAGCTCTTTTCCCTCTCACACAAGACCGTAACCAGGGGACATCCACTCCCATGAGTACAGAAAAAAGAAAATATTTCTTGACCCAGCATGTTGTTAGTCTGTGGAACTCCTTGCCCCTGGGGATGGCCTCTGAAAAGGGGATTGGAGAGATTCAGGGAGGAAAAGTCCCATTGCAGGTGACAAGCCATGATGGGGCTGTACAATCTCCAGGCTTAAAAGGAAGGGACCTCCAAAGGCCAGATGCAGGGGAGGGGGATCAGG